CCAGCGAGAAATCCGGCAAGCACGATTCGCCACCATTGAATTCGAACATTTCCACTGACGCCCAAGAATGCGAGGATGAGCACGAAGATGGGGACCAGCAGCGACATGACGGTCAGGGCGGTGGAGTAGGAGATCTGGAAGGCTTCCTGGCCGTCAAGCATGTAAATGGCTCGATTGCCGATGAAGTGCTAAGTGAGACATGTTAGTGACGAAGATGGAGGGGGATTCTGATTCAAAGTGTTGTAATGTACCATTGACCATATCGCAATGCCGCCCATAGCGATAGCCGCGCCGACAAGTAACAATCTGTACACCAAGGTCAGCAAAGCCACTATGAGTGAAGGACAAAGAAGAAGAAGAACAAGGGCGATGAATTGTCGATCAACACGCACAAGTTATGTTTTCCTCTATGAGACGTTCTCTTTCTGATCATCTCTAGACTGGTGCTTGTGCCGACCAAGCTAATGGCGAAACTCAAGCACACGAAGCCTCCATTGAAGGAATACGGCACCAACTTGCCCGCGTAGTCCTCCAATAGCTGCTCAGTCGAATTCGTAGCCATGCTGTCGGGTTTCTCGTCGTGTCTCACTCTATTTCGCCCATCAACGACGTGGAAGATGGCAGGGGAAGAGAAAGAATAAAGGTGGTGGTCAAACCATATGTATGTCCTAAACTCAAATTTAGACACAGCCGGGAGTTGATCCGAAAGGGGACAACTGCTTCCCAGTGTCTCATGAAACAAGAGCTACGGTACGGAGTACTTATGTATGTATGTGAGGGAACGGGGGCCGGCCCACGGGAATGTGTGTAGGATACAACGTATTATAATGATTGGTTAGGTATAGGGAACACGAAGGCTCGACTAGCCGGCCGGGACCATAGATTGCCTTGCATGATGAATGGGAAACGACTGGTATAGGAAATTAGTCGTCCGATGTGGTTCACACTTCTGTGTATCATCCGCGCGGCAATAGACCGAGTGGAGAGGCATCCAAAGTCACGCACAGGTCGCGCGAGTCCGCTTTCCCGATTTAAGGTGACGGGATTGGAAAGCACATGAAGATGAAGAGCTGAGTAGTAAGTAGTGGTGGTATACAGGGAACTGACGATTTCTCTCTTGTTGAGGCTATGGCTACTGGGAGGAGTTTGGGCCTCCAGCCCGTACCGGCAAGTGGATGTGAACGTGATCGAGGCTGGCCCACGAAGCAAGCCTAACCAGGGGTTGACGAAAGAGATCCAACCAACCAGAGTACATGGCCGTACATGGTTCTCTACCGTGACAACGGTTTCCCCTGCCGCCCTCCACCAGTAGTGCCGGGGGTGGATCTGGGAGGGTTGCTTTGGAGGCAAAGAGGGTCGAGAAGGTTTGCGAACTCTTGGGACGATCCGCGGCCTGGGTCGCTGTTATTCGTCTGTTCCATCGCTTGCCCCTGGTAAACCGAGGCCCTGGTAACGAAACTACGCAGGTGTGGCTGTCAAACCTTACCGACAAACGCTCCAGCTCAGCCAGACAAGGCGAGAAAAGCCACAACTTGACCAAACCACTTTCGGGCGGCCTGGTCCAAGGCACGGCCCCTTGTTTACGCAAAGACTCAGTACCAAGCGTATAAAGAAACGGACGAGTCGCCCAAGAGAGAATGGGGCATGTGCAAGGTACATACAGATTGCATACAAGGCGAGTTTTCCAAGGCACACACACAGCCGAGTACAGACAGGCAAGATGGCTTGTTCGTACAGCTGAATCGGGTATAAAGAGCCTAGCCTGAAGCTGAATTCTCGCCGCAAATTGTACAGCCCGAGAGGTGAAGGCGGGTTCAAAAGCAAATAACTCGATCCTGCTTAGCCGCGGACGTTGCAGAGGTTGTTGCGACGCAGTGACAAAAGCAACTCTTGATTAATAAATGTCGCACCCTGCTTCTTTTGCCCAGCAACTCCACTCAAACGATTGCGGGCAACCGAGGAGGAAGCATTAAAATAAAAAAACAAAGGTGGAAAAAGTAAAACCCGCGAGAACAATGGCAAACGCTGGGTCTGGAGACTACGGAGTACCGTCCCCCAATCTTGCTGTGGTGAGGGGTGAAAAAGAGTTCCAGCCTCAGGCACAGACACACACACACCCACTCACACCAGACAGCGAGAGGTCTTGAAGAGTCAATACAATAGCGGAGGCACAGATTCTGCAACAGCCTGACCATCTGGATCAAGCATCATTGTCGGCTATGGCGAGCGCCTGATGAGAGGCAGACGATGGCTTTTTCGACCCTACGACTCGTACAGGAAGCGATTGTTGCTCAATTGGGCTTAAGGACCGTGCAGTTGCATCCCGGCCCCAAACGGTCCCTGAGTGTTAACGCCACGATTTGGCTTCGACCCTGTACGAGTCGAGGGCGCAGAGTATGCGTGCACTACTACAAGTACGAGCCGGTGATGACATGACATGATTTTGCGCCGCTCAGGTCCCGTCCAGAAAGCTTGCGAGTCTTTCGTCGCCTGCTTTTGGTGAGGCGCGGCTGTGGGTTAGGGGAATCGAGAGGCGACCCTTTTCGTTTCGTTTCGTTTCCTTTCTTTTTCCCTTTTTCGACACCCAGTTTACTAATTACTATCTTGCCCCCTTTTTAGTGACAAGCCTGGCCCTTGGGTTTCTGGACAAACGAGAAATGCACCAAGTAATCAACTTGAAGGGTTCGTTGGTTCGCCTCAATGCAACCTCGCATCGACGCGGGCCTGCCAGAATAGTAATTATGCATGCAGATGCTGGTGCTAGCCGACGCCGGCTCCATGTTTCCCTGCCGTCCATGATACCCTTGATCTTGAACAAGTGACTGTGTCTGAGGCTGAGTCGCAACTCGTCAAGCAAACACCTTCTCTCGACGTCGTCAACGCCCAAGCGCCGATCGTCATGTTCCAAGACAATGCCGCGTTTGACATCTGTCTGTCGCAGCATGTTCCTAACTGGGGTTACTCTCAGACCTCTGATTCTTCACATAAGCTCCTGTGAATCGTCTCCATGCTCTTGGCAATGGCTTCTCGGCAAACAGGTCATCGCCGCCAGTCAATGGTCGAGGTGTGCCTATCGTCACTGCGACCCAATAGTCCAGGCGAGTATACTTGACTAGCACTGGCCCAGTGTTGTGTTGCCCATTGGTGAGAACAGACGATAGCGGAGAGATGGGGACAAAGAACAGAAAGTCGGCTTTCTTTTCCACTCCAAGTCAAGACTCAAGACTAGGCCCGCGCAAGTCCGGTTGTTTTGTCATTGGCGCCAAGCTCCAGAAACTATTGAATGCTGTAGGTAGGCCAGATATATACTACTTTGTATGGTAGTATTTTGTCACGTCAGGCGGCAGAGGCCCGGCATTCTTTGTGGCAGTATGGCGTGCACAAGCGTACCGCATGGTGGAGGATGGAAAAGGAAGTGTCAATATGACAAAAGCAACCCAACAAGCCAAAAAAAAAAAAAGCAAGGTTCAGTCGCGTGCCCCAGACCATTAATTGATGCTTTGGATGAGCATTCGCAGGCCGGAGTATCATAACTTGATTATTTTTGTTCTCTGTGATGACTCGTTATGAAGTTTATTAGTGCTTATAGTTTGTGATTCCTCACGACGCGAAGCATCATCAACCGTACGGGGTAGACGATGAGAGTCGACCCATGTAAGCTTTCTCTTGCTCTCGCCTACCCACGCCACCGCTCTTCAGCTGTCAAAATAGCCTGGCCCCGGCCCTTTCACCAAAAGACGCCCCACCGTCTCCATTAATGTCTTGAATGTGCCTGGCCCATCAACGTACACCAGTTGACACGTCCATCAACGTACACCAGTTGACACGTCCATCAGGTAGCCATCTTCAACGGCCTCTGCCTCGAGCTTGACTTGTCTCAACCCTGGCCCCTGGCCCCTCAGTTTGGCAACATAAGGCCTAATACAGCAATTCAGGTCATCCATTACCGGAAACCATCTACACAGACTGGCCTGAGAAACGTCTTCTCACCGTGGACGGGCGCGTTGGGGTCCCACTGCCAGCACTGGGCATGGCCTGATCTGTTTCAAAGCCCTCCGAAACCACACATGCGGCTGTAGAGCTCACAGACACGCACGGTCAGAAAACAATGTCAACTGTCGTCTTTTTCTTTTGTTTCATTGTCCCTTTCCCCGGCCCATCCCCGCTTTTCTTGTCGACGGTCCGTGCTGGAGACAAAGCCGTGGGTCCCCCGACCGCAACATCATGGCCTTCGGGGCTATCGTTGATGGCACAGACTGGCTGGGAGAGGTGTGCCTGTTTCGTGTGCGTCTGTCAGACGGCTAGACTCTGGGGAATTGCATGAGCAAGGCCGGGCTGACACGCCCATCCACACGCTACGGCGTCGACTAAAGACATTTGGCGAGTCCTGGGCATCACCCATTGGTGGCCGTCAAGGGAAGGGAAGCCAAGGGAGCCAAGGGAGTGCCAAAGACGATCGAGATGGATAGTCACCGGGGCCCCTCTCATCCAAGCTCCCAGGCCATGTCTATATTATACGCGGATTTGGAAAGAATTGGAGCCCGTCTACTCCGTATGCATACACATCTATTCATATATATATTGTAGTCCCTGTGTCACATCTCGGTTAAATCCAACGCCACCGTTCCACCTCGTGCTGGGCCTGTAAGTGATCAATTCCCACGTAGCCGTGCTGGAATCTATTTCTCAAGCATACATACATATTATTTTCTCTTCTCGAACCCCGGATACACTATCCTTTTTTAGACTTGTACCACCATCGTTTCACCCAAAAACAACACTTGTCGCCAATAACATCCCACGCCAAACTCCACGACCACAGATGATTAATACGCCACCGGCCAGACATTCGGACAAGATCGATCAATCCTTCCACCTGCATATGTGGTCGACCTAGTTGAGGAAGAATCAAGGAAGAAGAAGGAAACAAGGGGGAAAAGGAACCAAGAACATCGCCAGGCAAGCATTCGGCGAACACAACATCACCCCCCTTGGCCAGCATGAAGATCCTCTTCCTCTGTACGGCGCACAACTCGCTCTCGCAGCGGCTGTTCCTCGTTCTATCGCGGAAGCATTCCATCACCGTTGAATATGCCTTGTGTGCAGAGAAGATGATTGAGGCAGCCGATTTGGCCAAGCCACATCTCATCATCTGCCCCTTCCTCACGTCTCTGGTGCCGCAGCAAATCTACGAGACGTATCTGACCCTCATTGTACACCCCGGGCCTCCAGGGGATGCCGGGCCTAGTGCCCTCGACTGGATGCTGATGGGTGACGACGGCACCGTGGCAGACAGTCAACAATTACTGCGCGAAAACCGCTTCAACCCCGTAGGAAGAAGTCACTGGGGCGTCACGGTTCTGCAAGCCATTGCCGAGTTTGATAAAGGCCCCGTGTGGGCCTTTGATCAGTTCCCCGTCAACATCAATGACACCAGCGTAACCAAGTCGAGTCTGTATAGGGGCCCGGTGACACAGGCTGCCGTTGCTGCAACGCTGGCTGCCATTGATAGAATCGAGGCCGCCGCGTCTTTGGCACCTACCCCCGTTGGAGCGCCTCTGTCGCCTCCCACAACTCCGAGGCCCGATGGCACCGGCTCGAGCGTGTCGAGAAACACCTCCCCCAGCCTCTCTGCAGACAAGGAGTTTGCACAACTGTCAGTCACCACGTCGGAGCCGTTTCTCGGCGGCAAAACACATCACAGGCCGCTCCTCAAGGCATCAGACAGGCAGTTTGACGTCAGAAAGCACACCGCCTCGGCGATATCTCGAAGGATCCGCAGTGCCGACTCCCAGCCCGGCTGTCTGAGTGACCTGTTTGGCCCCAAGCTGTATCTGTACGGCGGCATCATCGAGAACCCGACCCTGCTCTCCTCCAACAGAGGCCATATTGCACCGGGCAGCATCATTGCCGTCCGGGACGAGGCGGTCTGCGTTGCCACCTGTGACAACAAGGGCATCTGGATCACACACGTGAGACGAGTCAAGGCCAAGACGGACGCTGCATTGTGGCCAAAGGTTCCTGCCACGTCGGGCCTCGAGCAGCTTGGTATTTCTACCGGCAGCCCGTCGACCTGGTTCCATTCGCTGCTCCCCCAGACACAGCCGGAGGAGTGGGCAAGGTCGTACCACGACACCTTCCAGGAGACTTGGGTACACTTGGTAACCGACGGCCACAAGCAAATTGCCTACTTGTACTTTGAGTTTTACAACGGCGCCATGAGCACAGAACAGTGCAGGCGCATGGTCCGGTGCCTCGAGTACATCCTATCCACGACCGACGGCCCGAACCAGAGCCTGCCCCTGGCGGCCGTGGTGCTCATGGGCGGCAGCTCGTACTTCAGCAACGGCATCCATCTCAACGTCATCGAGTCGGCGGCCGACCCTGCGCTGGAGTCGTGGTACAACATCAACGCCATCAACGACATTGTCGAGAAGCTCCTCCTGGACCTGCCCGCCCGTGGCGTCACCACAATCTCGGCCATCAGGGGCAACTGCGCCGCTGGCGGCGTCGCGCTGGCGGCGGCCTGCGATGTCGTCGTGGCGGGAGAGCACGTCGTGTTGAATCCAGCGTACAGGGCGCTGGGGTTGAACGGATCTGAACTCCACAGCGTCAGCTATCTCGGACGCTGCGGCGCCGAGGGAGCCAAGGCGGCTCTGCGTTCCATGACGCCACTGAGCGCAGACGACGCCCGGGGCATGGGTCTCGTCGACCACGTCCTGCGCGTGGCCCCCGACGCCCTCGACGCCGCTGTGCGAGCCCACGTCGAGGGCTTGTTCCCTCCCGGCAAGAAGCGTGGCCTGGCGCCGTCGGCCAAGGCCGGCGCTTGGAAGCGCAACGTGGACACGTCTCCAGCGGGCTTGGCCCTCGCCCGCGCGGCTGAGCTGGGCCAGATGTCGATGGACTTTTGGAGTGCCCGGTCCGAGAGATACCACTCTCGCCGGAGGGACTTTGTGCGCAAGGTGAAGCCGTCGTCGACGCCGCTGCGGTTTGCGACGCACCGAAGGGAGAAGGGCATGATGGATGAAGAGGAACGGGACACGTTTGACTCGGTCGAGTGGTTTGTGGAGAAGTCCATGTGCAGTCTGAAGAGGGATATTTCAGACAGAATGGTGCAGTTGATAAAGGACTTTTCCAGAAGTGGTGATAATTTCGAGAGAAGCAACATCCGGAATGACGACGCGAAGGTTGCGGCCAGCACGAGCACGACGCTGTTTGGCTGCTATTATAATCCCTAATGAGGACACATGGAGCCACTCCGGACTACATACAATATAACCCCTGAAAGTTTAGCCATGTGTGACATTAGTGAGTAGGGCCAGCTGTCAGGTTATTTATTAACAGCTGTCAGAGTAAGCCACGTATTTTTTCTAGAAAAACTAATAAAATAATATAAGAAGAATAAAAGAAATATAAACCCTAATAAAAAGTACTAATCCTTTTATATAAACTATGTGATGCTTTTAGTACCTTTTACTTTACTTCCTGTATCCCTTATTTTTTTACAGGCACCGTATTGGGCCCTTAGCCCCTGCAACCTCCACTGGAAGTCACGGGTGGCTAAACTTACAGGGGTTGGATTGTATGTACCAGGACCGGTTCATGCATATATTTTTTTTTTTAATTATTGCTCTAGCCTAATGATACCTCTACTTTGTTTTCTCGCTTATCAATCCACGCCACGTCCTGTCTTGTCATGTCTTGAATAAGTACGTACCTGGTAGACGGCTTTATGCTTTCAATATTTCTCGCATTTGTGTCAGCGTTAACATTGAACTGATCCCCCCTGCCGTCGTCCTCTTGCTATAGGGTAGGGGACTTGTCTGGCGCCCCACTGCATCATGAAGCTTACTTACTTCCAGGTTCGAGCTGCGATGTGACACCAGCTTTCGTCGGACCCCAATTCACATCCCATCTTTCTCACCATCAAAACATACCACCGGCGAAAAACGACCAAAAGAAAAAAGGGACCATGGCGCCGCGCCCAAGCGCCGATCCCGCACCGGCCACAGCAAACGGCGACTCTCATGCCGCCAGAATCGGCCCTCACCCCGGCTTCATCTCCAGCTCGAATCAATACAGCTCCGAAATCAAGATCCGCCGCATGCTCAAGGACAATGGCTGCGATCCCGCGCGAGAGGACAACTACCGCCTCCAGGGCGTCCAGCTGATCAACAACGTGAGGGAGAATCTGCAGCTGTGCGTTCCCGTCTGCCCCCTTTTCTGTCTGGTGCACCTGGGCTGACAAGCAACCTTCGCAGACCCGTCCGGACGTTTGACACGGCCTGCACCTACTACCACAAGTTTCGGTTAAACTTTCGCGACGCCGAGTACAGCCACCAAGATGCAGCTCTGGCGTCATTATTCGTCGCGTGCAAAGTGGAAGACACCATCAAAAAGTCCAAGGACATACTAGCCGCCGCGTACAACGTCAAGAACCCCGAAAAGACGGTCGCCCCCGACGACAAGGTACGTGTGCTCGGCGGGAACGGCCAACTCGCCCTTCAGGCGCCGGCGGGAAGGGGGAAAAGCTAACCAGGTGACGCAGATGTTCGAAGCGCCCGGCAAGATCATCATCGGGCTGGAGCGCTTCATCCTCGAAACGATAGGCTTCGACTTCCGCACGCGGTACCCGCAGAAGCTGCTCGTCAAGGTGGTGCGGCGCGCGCTGGGCAAGTCGTCGGCCAACTCGCGCGCCTTCTTCGCCACCGCGTACGACATGTGCATCGACATGTACAAGACGTTTGTGCCCATCAAGCAGACCACGCTGTCCATGGTCATGGCCGTGGTCGAGCTGACGGCGCGCATGCGCGGCGAGCACCTCGAGCGGGTGCGCGACTTCGCCGCCGGCAGGAGGCAGTACAGCCGGGACGCCGTCATGGAGACCATGCTCGACCTGCTCGACCTGTACGTGCAGCACCACAAGTCGACCAGGATCGGCGCCCGCTTCGACCTCGGCAAGTTCATCGACATCAAGATCCGGCTCAACACCGACCTGGACAGCACCGCCAAGCCGAGGTACTTGTACCACTGCCACAGGTGCGAGGTGGAGGAGGCGCACCCGCTCTCTTCGACGACGGCCTCGGCTACGGACCCGACGACGGCGTCGAACCCCTGGCCCGCGGACGCGTCTATCCGGCGGACGGCGCGCGGCCAGGACGGCACGATGCGCTTCGTGTTTGACCCCGAGGCCGCCAAGGACGAGCAGGAGACGGTCGGCCAGTTCTTCAAGGATGAGTACGAAGAGTACGAGGTGGAAGTCGAGGAGCCCGTCCCGCCGCCGGACAGAGACGAGGCGCCGCGTGGGAGGGGAGGATACCGCGGCGGCTACAGAGACAGGGGCGATCACAGGCGCGGCGGACCGTATGGCGCACATCGTGGAGATAGGTATCACAGGGGACGGGGGCGATATCACTAATGAATACACGGCATACATGTAGGGCCAGGTGTAAAATGTCGGCTGCAATATCGCAAGTGGAAAAATGACCGCTGTCAAATACATGTGTTTCCTCCGTGCGTGTAAATGGCAACATTACCATCCGGCTTCGTCGATATCAAGGGGAAATAACATCACGGGAACACCACCGCTCCCCAATGCGCCGCCGTCCCGTCCTCTACCTCTTCCCGTCTTCCTTGTCGAGCGCCAAATCCTCACCCCCGGGTCCCGAGGACTTCAAACCGTCCTCTACCTCCCCATCACCACTCCCGTCGTCTTCGCCGTCGCCGCGACCATCGCCATCATCCGACCGCTCCACGCTCAAATCCCTCTCGCCCTTGCCGCCCTCCACGGCCGCAGTGCCCCTCCAGTCCGCGGCCGCAACCTGCGGTACCGGCTCCCCTTCCCCAGGCTCGACAATCTCCTCGCCCTCCTTGCCGCCATCGCCAGCCACCCTCCACACGACGCTCATCTTGTCCAGCGCCCTCGATCCCTTCCAGGACAAGCCCTTGATGCCGTCCATTGCCTCCCACTCTATCGTGAAGACGCCGCTCTCGTCCGCCTTTTCTGCCCCCTGCTCGGGGCCGCGGCCCTCAAAGAAGGCGTTGAACCACACGTGCGCCACGGACGACACCACAGTCCAGCTCAAGCTCTTGTGTGTCCGGGTCCGTTGTTTCAGTGCGATATTCACATCGCTGTTGGGTATGCGGATCGGCCGCGCCGGTCTAAACACCACCGCCATCCCGCCCGGCTGCTCCCCGTCAAGAACACCATTGCCGCGGCTCGCACTGCTGCTTCTGCTGCTGCCCGTCTTGGATCTCGCCTTGTCGACGCCGTCCCCAGCACCGCCGCCCGGCTGCGTCTCCTGGACCGGCCCCGTCTCTCTACCCGCCGGCTCGTGCCTCGTCTTGTCCCCCGCCTCACCAGTCCATGTATGCTTGCGCTCGACGCCCGCGGCGCTGCTCGCCTCGCCAGCCGAATCCGCCTGCTGCGGAGCCTTCATGTTGTCCGCCGGATATCCCACCAGGCCCAAGAGCGTGTCGACCAGCCCGCTCCTCGGCGGCTCGCCCGCCTCCACCACCAGCCTCTCCTCGGGGCCGAACGTGTGAATCTTGTGCACCTTCTTGCCCTCGTCGGCGAAGCCTCTGACGAAGACGTCGACGCCGCCCCGCAAACCCCAGACGTGGACCTCCACAATCTCAACCGGCCTGTCGACGTACTGCTTGCCGTGGTCCTTCCAGCGGTCGACGTAGCCCACCCACCGCAGCTGCGAGGGTATCGAGACGCCCGGCCCGAAGCCTTCCTTCATGCGCTGCCTGGTGAAGTTGTCGAGCGCCCTCTGCGCCGCCCAGCCCTCCTCCGAGATGAGGTAGCTGCACGACACGGTTCCCGAGCGGCCCTTGCCCGCCTTGCAGTGAATCACGACGACCCTCTTGCCGCCGCGGCTCTCTTCCCCTTCCGGCGGGGGCCCCCCGTGCAGTGCGCCCCCGTGCAGCCAGTTCCTCATGCTCGCCATGATCGGGGGCACCAGCCGAAACGGCGGCGGGTGGTGGTCCGGCCACGGGTAGTGGCATACTCTCCCGAAGACGGCCTCGTCGGGGTACCCCGTGCCTTCGGCGCGAAACTCCCATATCGCCCAGTCGTCGCCGTGTTTGGCCGTCAGCCAGGCTCTGAGCTTGTCGAGGGGGTTGCGGTACGCCCGCTGCGGCCATGTCTGCGAGGGTCCAGACCTGCGTTTTTTTGTTATCGTGTCAGCCGCGGTATGGGGTAGAAAGTACATAAATGCTTTTATTAAAAAAACAAAACAAATGAAAACCAAATGTCACCATGTCACAGTGAGCAAGTGTGTAAGAGAATCAAGGTGAGGGGTGAGACGTACGTAACTATTATAGAGTCGGTCACATAGCACAGGTCCAGCTTTGCCTCGGGGTGTCTCACCCTTGGCCCAGCGACAATCTGTCGCAGAGTCGAGGTCATGGTGTTTTTTTGTTTTGTTTTGGTGACCTCTTCGCTGCAGGGTATGAAAGTCGGGGTGGCCAGAGACCGGCCAAGATCTGGGTTGTGTCGTTTCGACGACGGGCTGTGAGGCTGACGCTGTCTGGGGGTGGCAACACAGTGGGATTGATGACGAAATGGATTGACGAGTGACAGCGGCAAGAGCAGTTGGTTGATGGGCAACTGATGGGCGTTATTGAGCCAGGCGTGTAAACATTGAACGGCCGGTCCCCGCAATATCTGCCTACCTTAGGCAGGTACCTGCTGTGGTCCGGTACTTGAGTACCTGGGTGGGCGGCTATTTAGGGTCTGGAATAAAACAGGAAATAGTTGATGAATCGAATAACTGCCTACTCACTCGGTTCTCAAGTGAATTAGACCATTGCGCACCGGGCCATACGTAGCTTTAATCAAGTGGTGCGTCGTGGTGGCTTCATGCAATCAATTGACCAGGTCACCCGCATGCTAAAGTACCAAGCACCGAGACCCTGTTTTACCCCGTGCCTGCACATGTTTTCACTTGTTTTACTTTGCCGCCGCCGTTCAAGGTGCACACATCCTTTTGTCCCACCGTCCGCACCGACGTCATCAATTTCACCGTCACAGCTCTACACATTCCTCTCCGCAATCACATGGCATCACGCATGACCATTCAAACAACCTGTGTATACATAGTATAGACAAAAAAAAACCAAAACAGCAAACAGAACTGGAAGCGCAAAGTCTTCCTGAACAAAACAATGACCCACCAGCCACTTTGAACACCAGAGTCCATTGAATATGAATACTCCAACCACACTCCAATTCTTGTCTTTGGCCTCACCACCTTTCCTCCTCCGCGACATATTTGCCCATACTTCGTAACAATGATGAGAGCCGTCTGTATCATATCTTCTGCCACACTATTTTTAATCAGGAGCCGCCGCTCGTCAACCCCCGATTGACTCCTTCCCTTCATCGTAAATCACCTGTACAAACAAACGAGTCTGCACCATGACAATACTTTCCAACCTCTGACCAACAAATCGTTTCAGCAGGCCAGCTCGAGCAGGGCAAAAGACATTGCCGGTCCCAATGCACCCAGAATGCAGTCAAGTGACTACACACCTTTCACGTGTTACAAGGAGAGGAAATCCCGAGACTTCTCCAAACTGAAATATAACAGTCTGCATAACCCTCTTGTGCCATTTGCTACAAACTTCTCAGGTCGCCTACGAGGTCTTCTTGGCAGGGGCAGGACCCTGAGTGTACTTGCTGACATCAGTAGCATCGCGGAACTGTCGACCGACATTCTTGACATTGTCCCAGACTTGACGGGCAGCGGGAGGAGTGCCCTGAGCACCAACCAGAGAGTCGATTCTAGCGACCAGTTGTGACATAGAGTGCTGAACGTGGGTGCTCTGTGAGAAGCGAGCTCGGAGGAAAGCCGTGTATAGAGTAATCAAGATCCAAGAGCGGCGCTGGAAGAGAATGGCCGAGAGCAAGATGCGGCCCCAGAGCAGAATCTCCAGTCCCGAGACAACGGACATGGAGGCGTCGTAGTACTCCTTGACAAAGGCACCAATTCTATCAGCCAGAGGGTTGCTGACGCGCTGGGGAGAGGCGCCATCGGCGGTGGGAGGAGGGGGCTGGAGGACGGGGATCAAGTTGGCGCGGGTGTATGTGGCGACGTGGAAGATTGAGTAAACGCAGTAGGGGAGGAGCGCAAGCGGGTACTGAGGAGAAAAGAGCCAGACGAGGGCCATAACTGTGAGCCACCGTTCATGTTAGCAAGCATCCTGGCCGCGGTATAAAAATGCCAGCAAATGTTTGTGTAGTGCACTGTGTGCGCTGGGGGGCCAAAAGTCGTGATTCGGATTCACTGGGAAAACGTACGCAAATACTGGATATTCTCATCGGACAAGAGCCCAATGGCGCCACCTGGCATCTTGTTGCCAGTCTTGGCTCGAGCTCGCTGGGTCTTGTAAACGACAATGCCGTAAGTAACAGCGGCAGCAAGGAACGAAGTACGGTAGGAGAACTTGGCCATGCCGCCGTAGTAGTTCATGCGCAGCCAGGAGAACCCATATCGAATGGTGGTCAGAATGAGCGTCATATGCCTATGCGAGAAGACGACGAGTCAGCTTCACTTTCTGCCCAGTCCACCGTTTGAAACTTGGCCAAATTGACAAAGTCCATCATGCCCGCAGAGATTGCGGTGCACCATCAAGGCAGCCGTTGGGCAGCTTGTGACACGACAGACAAAGAAAGCTGGGTGTAGCAAAGTGGCAACAGTGAGGGGGGGTCGAGTCGACTCGACGTGGAAGCGCAGGTGAGGTGTTTTCATACCCAACAAACCAGGCAACTGTATCACGCAAGGTCAGCAAGCTTTGAATCTTGGCGGCAGCCATTGATCACGACATGGCTTGAGAAGAACAGCGGCGGGGAAGGTCTGGGTAGGTTTTGGAGAACGTACATTGCAGCGTCTTGGCCAGCTGCAGCAGCCTCTCCTGCAGAGGCTGGCTTGAATTGGGCGGAGGGGGTGCCATGCTGGTATTTCGGACGGTTGCTGGAAAATATCGTCTGCAAACAACGTATGTAGCTGTGGCGGGTGAAGATAGGGTTGACGGTTTGGCGGATTAGAGAAAAAAGGCTGGCGTTGTGTGCGGCCGAGAAGAGTTGTGCGGTCTCAGGAGCCAAAGCTAAGTGAGCGAGTGAGGTTAAGGTGGTCAAAGTGGCCAAGGCCAAGTCTCAGCTGTGTCGGCGTCAAGACAAAACCAAGCGGGTGGTGGGTGGGACGGAGCTCGACGGTGTCGTAATGGTCCGACGTTGACGCAGCTAAAACACACAACGGAAAAACGGGGATCCAGTCGGGCGTTCACTGGGGTAGCAGCCGATGCAGCAGCAAGATTTCCCAAGACAAAAGAAGACGAGGAAAAGATAAAAAAAATTATGTGAGGGACGAGAGCTCCAATGACAGGCCCGGTGCTTGTTTGAGGAACAAAAAATAATAATCAATGCGGGCAGATTGAGCCGGCGGCTTGGGGAGAAAATGGAAAGAAGGTCCAGGGAGCACTTGAAGGACTGGGCCAGGCAAACAGCCGCCAGCATTCGGCTGCATCTGACTGGCCGACGCCGAGGCCAGTAAAGTGGCGAGGCGGCAAGGCCAGGCGGTCACTGACTTTGGAGCAGCAACGAGGCACCAGCAGCTTGCAGATCAATTGATGGCTAACTGGTCTGGCCCGGTGTGCTTCCCTTTTCCACACCTTCCCGAAGCTTTGCTAATATATATTCACGTCCTAGCTCATGATATCCCACGCCGACGTCCATCCAGCGCCAAAGCAATTATCTCCGTAACACTCTGCATCGTACTTTACATACACGTGTACGTACTCCGTAACTGGCTATTATGATCCACCAATCCACGCATCGAGCTGAGAGGTGGAACCTGGAGCTGCCTGCAATCACTCCAGATCTCCCAAGAATCCCTGACGCAACCACGAGAGCTCATCCTCGGCCCACAGCAGCAGCAGCTAGCCTTGGGCCAGAAACGGTTGGCCACTTCAGCCGCTGATGACACCCGGAACCCACGAATCTCGACGCCACTGAACAGGCAGCACCGCCGTTGACTTTTTTGGCGCCGGCTCCTTATCAACGCCGAACTGCGCAATCTTGAAATCCATCTCGAAGAGTATCTAGGTAGTCAGACTTTCCAGCTATCTATGCTCTGCCTGTCTTTTTTTTTTCTAATTTGATTGATTGATTGATTTATTTTTGTTGAATCGACCATCTCGACGCCAGATCTTTCGTCCTTGTCAGGACAAAACTTGAGGGTGGTCTTCATAATTCTCTCGGCCGTGACATTTTCTGAAGGCATAGTCTCCTCGCCATCCCAGGTAGTCGCTTCGTCTGAGCATATCCGACACCGCGTAGTTGCCTAGTGGACAAAAGCATTCTGGCACCAATCAATTTCTCGCTTGCATTTGTCATCATGCTGGTTTATTCTTCACCATCTAATTCGCCCATATCCTAAGCGTCATGTCGACACTCCCCGTTGCAATAACACATCGTATCTGCTCATCTGAAGCCCCGGCCGGCCCAACGCTCTTTTTCAAGCCCCCATCGTTTTCCGATCCTTGCTCTTGCGTACCATTGCCATTTACCGACCCGCTGTCCTTTTGGATGCTCGGCGCCCATCGTAGGCAGGTCACAAAATGCGTGTGAGCTTCGTCTAGTACCTTGACGCACTTGCCTTCCTGGCTTAAATCCCAGCATCGTATTGTCTTATCGTCCGCACACGAGAGCAGATACTTGCCGCCAGGGTGGAAAACAAGCGATGACACCCAGTTGTCATGTCCCACAAGCGTCTTGAAGCAAATGCCTCGTCCGTCCCATAGTTTGATAGTTTTGTCGCGGGAGCCCGTAGCCAGGAATTCCGCCGAGCTGTTGGCGGGCGGTGGCTTCTTAAGACCGGCCATGGAGGCCAAGTGAACGTATGCTGATGGTGGCGCAAATGTGCAACAACCAACAGCGTTTTCGTGTCCAATGAATGTTATTTTGTTCTCTGGGTTAGGAACAGAGATATCCCAGAGTCGTGCAGTATGATCACTACCAGCAGATATAATGAACTGTCCGTCCCCTGATGGGCAAACATCTCGTACCCAATCCACGTGGCCTCGTAGGGCCTTCAAGCAGTAGCCAGTTGCCGTGTCCCATATTCTCAAAGTCTTGTCTGCGCTAGCACTGACCAGCAAGTTTGCAGACGACTGCGAGCCCCCCGAGCCAGATGATATAAACCGAACCGCGCTAACGCTGTGGTCGTGGCCCGACAATGTTCGAATGTTCTTGTATTGATCTGACGGGTCCCACAGTTTAATAGTGAGATCTGAGCTGCATGATGCTAATAACGTAGCACCTCGAGGCCCGCCGTAATCAAGACCCTTGACTGCGCGTGTATGGCCTTTGATGGTTTGTTCCAGTTCGCCCAGTTCCCAATCCCAGATCTTGATTGTGCAATCGTCGGATCCAGAGGCAATCGATGAAAATCTCGGGTGGAAAGCAATACAGTTGAGCATCCCTCGGTGACTCTCCAGCGTATGTCTCGATGGTTTTCTAGGCAACCATGATGTGGGATCTTGGTTTCGCTTCGACAGGGAGCTCGGGGTGGCGTTGTCGAGTTCAGACTGCAGCGATGTGTTTCGTGACTCGAGATCCATGATCTAGTGAAGGGTTCGCCGGGTCAGATAACTGCCGACAAAAATTCGAGCCTAGCCAAAGAAACGGGATTCTGTATCCAATACACACCTTCTTCTGCAGTCGCACAATGCTAGTCCACTTCTTCTCGAGGAGCGTTTCATACTTCTTTTCGGTGGCTACATCAAAGACATCTTCCCCAAGGCCGACCTCTTCTCGCAGAGCAGCGGCTGATTTTGGCAAGTTATTCGCCGACAGGTAGGCTATGATGGATTTGTGCCTGGAGGTTCCCGCATCAGTCTCGAGCCCACCCCAGTGCCACGTTGCCGTATCGGAGATGTCGCCAGGTGTCTGGTGATACTCACAACTCCTCGGCCTGTCGAGTCGGCAATGTGCGACTCATTGTGTCTGCACCAAATTTATGACTCCGGCCGGCTGGCCTCGTAGCCACACCCTCTGTGGCACACAACTACCGTTGCAGTGAGGAAATGGTGGTTCGTAGGATGGCAATGGTCGAGGTTGAGGAAGAGGCGGTCGGAGGCATGGATGGCTTGTGTGGGCTGGTGGGTTGGTCTCTGCTGGTCAGAATGTGGCTCGTCAGCCCAATTTGCAGTCGCAAGCCTCTCGACTAAGGTATATTTGCGCGCCCAGCCCGTGCATATGTAGCAATAAACCTAGGTCTCGCAGCTCGTCATTCAACAATGAAATCAAGCGTGTTGCGCTGTGTGAAGCTTCCACCCGGGCTCGCCTCATATGGTGGGGTTCAAAGCGTCGTCCTCCATAATAGCAGCCCGCCATCCCAAAACATCACGTGTAAGGGGGGAAGCCACTACCCTAGAGAACCCCTGGCCTAAACCTGCTTCATCAATTCAAGGTGTCGACGTATTTTGCAAGACGCAGTCATGAAAAATTGCTGGAGTCCTTCTCCATACTATGACAATGATATTATCCTCTAGTCATACGAGCCCTTTTCGCTCTTGTTCGTCTCAATCCACCACCCCGGATTCAGTTCCACGCTCTTGTGGCGTTGAGTTCGGTAACAAAAGTGCCGAAGTCGTATTGTTTGACCAGACGTTTCGCACTCGCTATTGACTGATGTCATTGGGGGATCTGGAAACGACTAACTGCCTTTCCTCTCGTTTGGTTACGCACCCCAAACGGTTCAAGCTACGTTGTGTCCATGCCCGTGATGCATGCGTGTCTGAAGCCGGACCTATTGCCATCGTGAGAAGGGAATTTGTTGAATCTAAAAGAAGAAGGAGGAAGTGGATAAATGGTGAAGGCCAGGAAAAAAAGAAAACAGTTGAAGCTGCGACTTTTATCACTGCCTTCATATCGCATTTGGTCGTTGATAGAATCTCAATTTAATCTCAAACCTCAACATACATGGTATTCGCGGTGTTAATCATTGTAAGTTCCCTAACTATGGCTAAACTAAAAATGGCTCTAACAAATTTCAGAGAGCCAGCGCATCTGCCAGAGCAATGCCATTGGACCAGTCGAGATATGGTGCAACCCGAGCTCTGGAACGATGTTCGAAACCTCCGTTTATAATGGCTCTGAACAACCGCACAACTGGTTCAGCGAGGCCCTGAAATCTGCAAGGAAAGAGTGTTTAATATCATCTGAAATGGCATCGTCGGCGCTGAGTTGGAATTCGAACCCGTCTGCTCTATAACTTAAGCGTGTCAAGGGGGCGACAGCAGCTTTTGCTTAGGAGCGTATCCAACTTGTTCCTCAAGGTTGCAGTACTCAAATCAGTGGGCGAAGTGAGCGCCCACAAAGTCAGCGGATTGTCATTGCATGGCACAATTTCGCAGCCGAAGCTTCTGTTTGTCGACGAAGCGATTATTGCTTTGGCCCGCAGCATCGTGTAAGGGCCTTAGACGAAGCTTTAAAAGACAGTACAACAATCACTATCGCGTACAGATTTAGGACAACTCAGACAGTCGATGTAGTCATGAAGCGGGAAATGATTATAGAGAAAGGGCAGCACGGTCACCTCGTCAGTCTCGGTGGGGCGTCCCCAACATCGTTAAGGCTTAAGATCTATCAACACAGGTCCTAGACGGATAGTTTAGCTCAAGGAGACGAGAATTTCCCAGAGGCCATTAAGACACTGAAGAGCGGGGCGAGAGGTAAGACGACTGAGATAGGCGCTGAGAACCCTTAGGGATCGAAAAGATCATGCGCTGCATCACGGTATGTGACTATTTACAGCCGTACTTAAACTGATTGAGGCCACGGATGAAAAATATGCGGCGAAGTTCTGGCTTTGCTGACATGAAATGTGTTGTCCGAGGCAAGCTATGGTCAACACTTATGGGTCAAATTGGACATGAATGAGTGACTCAGCTGGGATTTACCTTGGCCAAACACTGCGCTTGGGCGAAGCTCCCGACTTGCCAAAAGAATTCGGATCTTCAAAACATCGGCGGCTTTATATATCTCATGCCCCTTTGTCTAGTTCCTAGACTCGAGATCATGTCATTACGGGCTGGACTACAAGCACAATTGCCCAAGCAAGTCCACAGAAGCAAACAGATCTATATTAAGAAGGGTTACTGACACACTGAATGTAGACATTCAGTCAAATGATTGGAACCGACACGTTCACACCCTCTCCCTATCGAGACCTTGGATACTTTGATTGTCCCAGGAACACAGTCGGCCAACTGACCAGTCGAACCCACTCGTATTCCTGGTCAGTATTCGGGCTTGTCGGCCTCAACCTTGCTACCGAGCTGGAAAGGATCGTCCAGAGCTCCCCAATGGATGCGGCGTTGACACAAGGATAAATATCATATTCATACCCATGGTGTCCAAGAACTCGTTGTCACAGATCGGATATTTGTATTCTTTGGAAGCCGCATTCCGCAGGCTAGGCCACGCAACGGGCTTATTGCACATGGGGAATGTATAAAAAACGTGTGAGATTCAGAGCCTAGACCAATGGCTTTTTTGACTCATCATGCTAAAGAACATGGTTTTACAGACTTCCCCTCGGTAACGGCTGCCAGGCTTTGAGTTTAGCACAGTTCCGAAAGCCCTGCGGTATTTCGCGTATGTGAACTAGCCCATATTTAAAGGAATAATTGAGGCTGAGCCCGGCGATGAAACTGTTGCCATCGAATATAAGTGAGACCGTCATATACAGCGCATGCCATGGATGAATATACAAGTCTACTACGGACACAGAACTGTTGTATCCAATTGACTGCCTCTTACTGCCCCTCTCTACCTGAACAATTGCGACAAGTTATGTACGACCGTCGAGATTCTAGGTCCGCTTACCGCCCCTAGTTACACCATGTTGGGAAATGAAACTAGCGACTGTTGATCGGGATCTTCTTGATCCTCTTGGGCCTTAGGCGCACCAAAAGCTTGAACGAACTTGGCAACAATAGTAGCGCGAAACGAGGTGGCGGTTCGGACAAATTTGAACCCTGTCCGACCTATATGGAATTTCCCCGAATTATGGAGTTGCGCACCAGGGACCAGGACAAAATCATCGGCCCCGATACTTCTTTGGCTGTAACAAGCCACGCGCCATTTTGATGTCGTCTGAACTGTGCTGGGCTTCCCCTTGGACATTGCCAGAAGGCGGATAGCCTGAATCACGCCACGTGTTTGGGGGTTGTTTCGCACCTCTTGCCGAGAGCCGATCAAGAGATTTATGCCAAGGCATGTCAACGCATGCCAAGAGATGAGATCGTACGAAAATAGATCCCATGTAAATTATTCAACTCGTTTTGCTTTGTTCTGGCGGCTCATACACGACACCGACTATAAGTTTATAACCCTCAGCTGTGCGTACGGACCTTGATCAGATGGCGCTTTGGCCTAAAAGTACTTCGTACATTGGCCCAACTTGTGTCAAACAAGTCGCTGGCTTGACAAGCATGTAGTTATTTGGAATGATGTATTATTTTTCTACGTTCAAGCCAGGAACCTGCAACCCCAGCTAGCCCTGGACACGAGCCGTCACAGCCGCGCCGACTTGCCGTCCAGTTCTGCACAACTACATCTTTCTGTACAGCTAGGGTGGTGAGCTGTACGGTTTTCGGATCCAGGAGTTACCGGACTAGAGACTGGAGCAACTCTTCAATATGTGATGAAAATCAACGCCTCTTGGTCGCAGCGCTTACGCCACAGGCGACTTGGTGATAGACTTCCTGTGACGGTGACCAGCTCTTCACGTCTCCCGTTACGTATATTGGTTTCATCTTATGTTCTCGCCGCGTCATCGCTTCTATAGTGTCGACCAGCCTTTGCTGCCCTGAAGGCTTGCTCAGATGAATATAAATAACATGCCTAATCCCATTCTCAAAGTCACTTGTTGGAAGCATCAGCCCACACACAACTACAATCATTTCTTCAAAGACACCTCAACTTATTCAATAACATTCCTTATTTCTCAACACAATGAAGTTCACTTTCGCTACTATTCTGCTTCCCTATCTCCTCCACGGTGCTCTGGCAGCGCCTTACAACGTCGAGCGGGACCTCAACGGAGAGCAACATGATCTCGCAGACAGAGACTTTGACATAAGAAATGCGCTACCTCTAGAAGAAAATAGCGAGAACACTGGAGGCGTTGCCAATAATAATGCCAATGCAAATGGCGAGGCTGCTACCCAGGTAGCCGCTGTGAGTGCTACTCAGACCGCTGGCGCCGGCGCTGCCCAGAGCTCAGCGGCAGCAAAGGATGGGGCGGCCAAGAAGAAGGGAAAGGGAAAGGGAAAGGCGAAGGGAAAGGCGAAGGGTAAAGGAAAGGGTAAAGCCAAGGGCAAGGGTAAAGCACAGGCCAATGGGCAGGGCAACGAGGCGGCCGCAAAAGGAGCCAACTAGGCATCCAGTCTTGATGTTGCTGGCTGGTCTTGCAATATAGTTTGTTGATGCCTCAAAGCTAAATAACTGGAATCAATGAAAGCTTGGTCATTTGCTGGTCATCATCTATAATGGAGCAGAACCTTGTGACACGATGCTAAAAGTTAATGGGAGCACAGCGGCCAGGGAGAGCTGATCTATACAGAATAGCTATCGATTCACAAGTATGATCGAAAAAGTGTTCTGGGTTATGCGTATCCGCCTTTTTCGGCATCTTGTGCCTGTACTAGAAATAGACTAGTTTGACCAGGCCATTATTAGACTATTTTGGAAGCGAAGTTTATGATATAATACTTCCTGGTAGCGTAGCCTTAAAGGAAACGAGGCCAGTGCTAGGCTTGATGACTGAAGAGAGTGTATGTCGTTTGAAGAGGTTTCTGCCCTTAGAGGTTGTCCTGTTCTCAAGTGTTCTCACGAGCTAGTATCTACGGGCAGAATATGACGGTTGTTATTTCTCTATATTACCTTCTCGCTTTAGCAATTCCAATGCAGCAGCCTGCTTTATGTCAAATTTGCAGGACGTACAATTTTTGAACCACAGACGCAGCTGCCAAAGGCGCATTGTGTCGGTGCTTGGATGTCAGTTTACGGGTGTACAAGGAATGCCTTGGTTTGTAGAGCTACTGATAAGAATCTGTTGATAGTACTTTGAAGCCGACTCGTATATCATTAATTTTTGCAGTCTGCCTTTTTTCTCCATTTTTTTGACCAGACACGGATAAGATACTCTAGCCACTTTCCTACAAAATCACAGCTTCATTGCCAAGTTGACATGAATAGCCTTTGTCTGCGTGTATGCATCAAGTGCATATTTTCCAAGCTCCCTGCCGATGCCCGAAGCCTTGTAGCCGCCAAACGGAATACCAAAATGCGAGTCCCCTGACGAATTGACCCAAACCATTCCAGCCTGCAGTTTTCTCGAGACTTTGTGGCCTCTCGAAATATTCTCTGTAAATACAGCTGCCGCCAGGCCGTACGATGTGTCGTTTGCCTTGGCTATCACTTCTGGCTCGGTTGCAAATTTGCCGATCACGACCACGGGGCCAAATATCTCCTCTCGAACAACCGTGGCATTTTCGTTCGCCTGTTATAATTATATGTCAATGTAGAATAAAATGATATACTCGCTGTACTTACTTCTGAGAATATGGTCGGCTGAATGTAGTACCCTTCTCCTTCAACCTTGAGACCACCAGTAAGGATCCTGGCACCCTCTTTGCGACCCGCCTCGATATAGGAGAGAACACGATCAAATTGGTTCTTGGAGACCTGCGGCCCGTGGTTGACATTTTCCTTGAAAGGGTTCCCGATGACGGTACTCTTCTTAGTGAATTCAGTGAAAGCTTTGACAAAGTCATCGTAAACCTTCTCATGTACGTAAATTCGGGACGTAGAAGTGCAGACTTGACCAGAGTTGTCCATGATGCCGACATGGGCCCATTTAACAGCTTGTTCTAAATCAGCGTCTTCGAAGACAATGAGAGGGCTCTTGCCACCGCACTCGAGAGTAATATTCTTGAGATTTGTTGCTGCATATCGCATGATTGCACGGCCTGTATTTGTGCTTCCAGTAAATGCAATTTTGTCAACGTCAGTGTGCTCGGCCAACGTCTTTCCGGCGACGGGCCCAAGACCGGGAACAACATTAACAACACCGGGCGGCAACCCGGCTTCTTGGACCAACTTGCCAAAATACATGGCGGACAGCGGAGTTTGTTCTGCTGGCTTCACAATCACCACATTGCCGCACGCCAGAGCAGGCGCAACCTTCCAAGCAAGCATCATAAAAGGGAAATTCCAAGGAATGATCTGACCGCAAACTCCTAGTGGCTCCTGGACAGTATATGCAAACTTGGCGGGAGAGGTGTCAATTGTGTCACCATATATTTTGTCTGCCCACCCGGCATAATATTTGAACACATTGTAAGACTCTTCCAGGTCTGCTTCAAGCGCGACAGAGTAAGGTTTGCCACAGTCGTAGGCGTCAATGGCAGCTATAAGTTTTCGATCGCGGTCGATGAGGGAGGCCAGCTTCATGAGAAAATCGCCTCGCTCCGCGGGGGCCAACTCTGACCACGGCCCTTCAAATGCTTTGCGAGCGGCTTCTACAGCTGTGTTGACATCAGCCACAGACGCACCGGCTACGCTGAGTACTTGTTGTCCAGTGGCAGGATCGACAACGTCGAACTTGTCTCCAGACGCATGTTGGAATGAATTATTGACGAACAAGCCAACAGGCTGCTCGTACTTGACTCCGTTTGGAAGAGTGATGTTGATAGTCGACATGGCCGTATCAGCTTGGAGGCTGTGGTTGGGGGATGTGTACACTGTAGAATGTCGAAGGAAGTGTCACTGGGAGGAGGCAAGTTGTTCTTGCGGGACGTCGTCCATTTTCACCAGATGCATCGGCGGGCGAAACGCCACGGTCGAGATACATATGTATGCAACACGGTTTTGCACCAATCGTGGTTACGACATGTGGACGTCGTCAAGTTGTACTCGCAGTGGAGTCGGCTTGACTTCTGCTGAAGGTGCGGGAAGGTATGGGTGCCAGCTGGGTGCTAACCATATCTGGCTAAAAACTAGGCAGGAAGGCGGGGTATAATGTAACGCGGGGTAGCTCCATGCTGCTTGCGCCTGCCCATCTGTACATCTGTCCAATATCACAGGTCTCGGCTGTACAATGTATGGCGCAGGCACGGCCCACTGACCCCTTCACGGAGAGCATTTGCCATTCAACCAATATGGATCCCGTTACTCGCACATCGTGCATTTCCAAACTGGCATAAGCTTGGCTAGACCCTCATATGTCGGTGTTCCTACAACTCACAAACCTTGTACCAATTCATTACTTCTTTTGGTAACCGCAGAGAGTTCGATGGACAGCCCTTCCGGTCCTTCGTCGGCCAACCGGGATTTACAACCCTCGATTCGGCGCAGCAGGGTCGTCGAGGGATCATGCTGGACTTGTCGAAAACGCCGGGTCAAATGCGATATCCGAAAACCGTCGTGTACGCGGTGTCTCGATGCTGAGCAGCCTTGTTCATACAGCGCCACTCCCCCTATCAAATGGGTTGGGGGCATTTCGTCCCGTAGACGTCTCGCCAGTGTCGGCAATCCTTCTGCATTCCGTGGGTTGAGTCTGCCAGGCTCGGTCTCTCCCAGTACCCAGCCCCTGGATAGAAGTGAACTGAGGCTGTATTTTTCTGATGTCGTCCTGCCTCGTTTTGTCGTCAACGAGTCGATAGAATGGGACTTGGATGGCGTGCTGCAAAATGAGTCGCTCCTTGAAGCCGTCACGGCGGTTTCTCAAGCACACTACGCTCGCTATTCGAAAGTGGATGTATACGATGTTACAGCTGTCCGCAAAAACGCCCGGTATACTGCGATTGAGGCCTTTCGACGGTGTTTGCAACAAGGCTTGCAATCTGATGGCTCTGTGCAGATGCTTTTTGCCGTTAATATCCTCTTCTGTATGCTCGATGGCATGATAGAGCCTTCTGACGAGCACAACGCTTCGACATGCCATCTACGCGGCGGTTGGGCTATATTACACAATTGGCCAAACACCCCGACAAGAATGCTCCTACAGGACGGTCTGCAAGCTCACCTGCTGTCGATTTATGGCACCATGGATCTCGTACATGCCTTGCTCAGTGGCGATAAGCCCTTCTTCCAGTCCACCATATGGGTCATGTTTTCCGGTCTGCAGACCTGGTTTGGCAGACTGCCAGCTGGTGACAGATTTTTGGAGATTCTAACAGCCTTCGCAGACATGGCGTCACTTGGCAATTTAGTCCATGCTAGTCTGCCTCTCGACAGTGTAAGCCTGGTGTCGAAATGTTTGACAAAAATCGAGGCTATCTTCGATTCAAGGGATATGCAGGATAACAGGGAGTATTTCGGTCGAACAAATACGTCCCCACCTTCTCCATGGGCAACTTTCTGCTCAATCTACGAAATCTGCGGAGTCATATACTTGCAAAGGGCTTTGCGATTGCGGCCTGCAGACGACGAGGTGGTCCAGAGAGCAGCTCGACGCGGAGTTGAAAAGGTGATTGACCCAAACCTTCCCGGGATCATGCGTCACTGTGTTATCTTCCCAATGTTGGTCATTGGCAGCCACTGCACCTTGGCCCAGGATCGCCAGGCCATCCTTCAGGCTCTCTCCCCAAGCAGTTCGTATCTCAGCTTCGGAAATATGCAGTTGATGGCCGATTTCTTGAGAGAAACCTGGGCCCGAGAGGCAACCAATAAGAATTGGTGGGATCTTTTTTCTTCGTTATCTGAGAAGGCTTTTCTCTTCTAACCGGCTATCGTGGATGCGGCCGATAAGAGCCTTAGTCCGTTGAAGACAACCGGAAGCTGTTCGAACGCCTGAAAATGTGAGGCGTCAGCATCTTAATGAATAGGGAAAAAGGAGGAATTAGGGTTAACAGGGCCGGATGTACTATGCCATGCGCAAGACCCGTTTCGATTCCTACGTTTCATTCATCGTGCATATCGCCATCCATCTTCTCGTCTGGTCGGGGCCGCTATGCTCGCCGAGCGCCCCCATGTGGTGACATTGCGCCCGGCGTTCCCCGTCCAAGTCTTGTCGATTCGTTGCGCGTCATCCAATTAACTTGTAACTTGGTTGCCATGGCCCATCACTCACCCTGCCGATTTTGGGATACATTTGGGCACTGCATGCTAGTGCATGGTGGCGTCTAGCATGCGGCTCGCACGGCTCAGATATGTCACACATTCCATCCAAGAGGACGGAATACAGGATCCAAAAGCATGAGCGACCATGATAAGAAACTTACCGTCTGCACACGTTGACCTCTGCTCAACACCCTGCACCACTTCAGCTTGGCACAACGACAATGTCAGATGCGTTAAACGAGAAGAAGGCGTCGCTCTCGGAAGCAGAACGAGCCCTCGTTTCCAGCACACAACAGCGCAAAGAGGACAACGAGCTAGTTGCACTTGGATATGAGCCGGAACTTCGTCGCAATCGCTCCCTCTACACCATCTTATTTCAGGTGCTTGCTATCACTGCTGTACCATTCGGTGAAGGTACTGCCTTGACCAGCGCAATTTACGGCGGCGGCCAGCTAGCATACTTTGTGGGATGGATTGTTGTATGTCTGCTTGATCAGTGTGTCGCCGTCTCTCTGAGTGAGATTGCATCAAAGTTCCCAACGTCATCTGGGCCGTCTTAGTAGGAGCCTCTAAACCCTGGGTCAAAATGCAAATACATAAAATACTAACAACTTACCAAGTTGGTCGTTTCAGCTGCTTCCCGAAGGTCGTGCCCGGACAATCTTTTCCTTCATCACGGGCTGGGTTTGGCTGATCGGCAATATTACCATTTGCCTCAGCGTGAACTTTGGCACAGCATCACTCATTGCTGGCACGGCCACCATCTACCATCCGGACTGGCTAGCATCCGACTGGCAACTACTGCTTATCTTCTATGCCGTCTGCCTGGGTACTTTTCTTATCTGCGCATTCGGAAACAGGTTCCTCCCTTACGTAGATGCAGTTGCATCGGTATGGAACGGCCTGACTATTCTGATCGTTTGTGTCGCGCTGTCGGTGACTGCCAATGCGGGACGCCATAGTGTGGCCGACGCCCTCGCCAACTACGACAAGAGTTTCTCTGGATGGGGCAATTTCACCTTCTTTATTGGCCTGCTTCCGACGGCCTACACTTTTTCAGCAATAGGCATGATCACGTCGATGGCGGAAGAAGTAGCGGACCCAGCCAGAGACGTTCCCACAGCGCTGAGTCTCGTCATACCTATTTCTGGGGTCGCGGGTCTGTTCTTCATCCTTCCGATATGCTTTACGGTAAGCCATGTCCTTTTTTAAGCGATTTTCTTTTTTTTAAGTGATTTTTTTCTTTTTTCTTTTTTTTCTTTTTTTTTTCTTTTTTCTTTCTTCTTTCGTTTTTTCTTTTTGTTTGCTCGAGGCCATACTTTCCCAGTTATGCCTAGCTAAAACAGCAAATGGCGCTTGGTACTTTGCTTTTTCCTATTCCGGTTTTGTTCGTTCACATAGTTGCATGATAAAGTCTGGATATGAGTCTGCTGAACTGACATCTTTATAGATGCCCCCTCTTCAGGACATATTGAACGCCCCTCAAGCACAAGCAATGCCGTATGTTTTCCATACTGTAATGGGCACCCCGGGGGGAGGCTTAGCCCTCATGTTCTTCCTGCTGGGTGTTGCAGTATTTTGCTGTATCAGTATTACCACGGCTGCCTCTAGAACACTTTGGGCATTTGCACGGGATGGAGCAATCCCATTCTCAAGCATATGGTCGAAGCTAATTGGTGATCAAGTACCTCTTACAGCTTTAGCACTGCTGACAGTGATTCAAATGTTGCTTGGTCTTGTCAATTTAGGAAGCACGAGCGCCTTCACAGCCTTTGCTTCTTGCGGAGTCATCGCACTTGCTGCAGCATACGCTATAGTCATTGCAATCTCTCTATCCACAGGACGAAAGGCCGTGTCAACTGCTCGATGGAGATGTCCTAGTTTCATCGGATATTTTGTCAACGTCGTCTCCATTGCCTGGGTCGCCTTTCAATTGGTCCTTTTCAGTATGCCTGCGGCTTTGCCAGTAACGGTGGTATCTATGAACTATGCTTCCGTCGTTCTTGTCGGGTTTATGTTCATATCTTTCGTTTACTACGTCGCTCATGGTCGAAAAGGTATGTTCGCCAGCATATAATTTGTGCGGATGCGAGAACTGATATAATTAGTCTACAATGGAACCCCTGTCAGCGATGGTATATGAGACTTTGGTACCAATTGCAGATCTCACCGTATTGATAACAATACGGATGACCGTCCAGATCTCTATGGAGAGTTACTAGTCACTTGAGATACCCTACATACCGTGGCTAAGAAAGCCGCCGTGAATTTGAAAGGATTGTATTTACTCGTAAAGGAAAACTTGTCAACAGGGTCGCTTTGATCAAGGTTCTGAAATGGTTTTATGATACGCGGCTGTCCATCCAATAGTATGGGACTGTGGTCGCATTTTTGCTAGTTCGGGTCTAGAAATGCCCAGGAAACCCCTGAGGCGGAAAGGTTCAACTGGCATTCCTCCCAACCGTCCCTGTCTACCCAGATGTATAATCCGAAACCTCATTTAGGTAGGCGACAGTAACCTTTTCATAATGAACCCGGATCTGCAGTAGCGCAAGCATCCGCCAAGGCTTCCTATCATACATACATGGAAAAGTAGTTGACGTCTGTGCTCATCTCATTCTAGGACTAGCAGCCCTGCCTGTGAAGTGAGTCGAGTAAACATTGCCCATAAATACCAACTCGGTGGATAAAATGGAAGAACTTCAATGTTGGATGTGGAACCGACAGTTATACTACCTAGGTAGTTAAACTACTTGGGCCCATCTTGGTTACAATCTGTTCGATCAATTGCCATGCCAAGTACTTGGATAGGCCTGAATTTGCTGGCTAGGCACATACGCTAGAAGAAAAAACAGTTCATGAAAGAGGCTTTTTCTGTTTCAGCAAGACAAATCTGGAATACGCGAATACCCCCCCAAGCTTCAACGCGCCGAGCACCGTCAAACCTCCGTCACAGTGCCCAACTTGGCCCGAAGCATAAGGTTCTTTTTAGCTGTCTCAGGATCAGCCTCCGGAACAAAGTCAATCTTGATCCCCTTGCGGAAAACCACGCAGTGAGTCGAGCCTCCGTGATGGAACATGCCAATCTGCTCGCCCTTCTCTACACGCGTGGGTTTACCCGTTTTGAACTTCTTCAAAATCTCACACGACGATACATCCGCCATGCCGACAAAGACGAGGCACACTCGGCCAACCGGGGGCTCTGCCTCAATGAAGAAAATTGCCCGGGCGGCGACGTGAGTGATGTACGCCTGAGCCTGATCCGGCGCCGCCGGGTCGGGGTGGTTGCCGTCGAAGAAGCCGGTGATGGTAGGCTCCGAGAAGTATGTCCCGCGAATGACTTCTGTTCTGATGACATTGCCCGCGACAGGCGAGTGCCATCGATGATAGGAGGTGGCGCTCAGGAAGGCCTGGTAGATGGTGCCGCCGACAAAGTCTTCGGTCCAGGAGTGGCCGTCGAGCATCTCGGAGAGCGAGTATGGCTGGCCTTTGAGCCAGAAGCTGTCGCGCCTCTTGACGTTTATCTGCCTCTGGTATGCTCTCGACTCACACGCGTTGGCTAGAATTTCGGGCTGCTTGGGGGACGCAACGGGGCGGAGATTGTCGATGTCTTTGAACTGACGGACGAAGAAGTCGTCCCAGGACTTGAACCCCCAATGGACAGGGTCGCCCTCGGGGTCGCAAATGAAAAGCTCTGGGAATTTGCGGTCTACTCCATCGACGTTTGTGTCTTTCTCAATGGCCGTGAGTGCCGGCTCGCTGAGCCACATGTTTTCCTTAGTAGTGATGACGTACAGCGAGTCCGAGGTCATTAGAACCTCCTCTTTCCAAGTATTCAAAATTGCCTTGAACTTTTCGTTGACCTCCTCCTTCAGGAAAAACGCATATCCGCTGGGCGTGGCCATGGGCCAGTCAAGAACGGTATTAAAAGGGAACCCAATAAGGCCAATATCGTACCCCGCCTTGCTCCATTCGGGGGCTTTCGTAGTCATGACCACGCCGAAGAGTTGGAGAAGATGGTCGATGTCTCGAATCTGTCTGTTGCCAACCGGATCAGAGAGGTAAGGCTCCTTGTTTGGAACCTCGGAGAGCATGGCCGACGCCAACATGCGGAGATCGGGGCGGCTTTCAATCAGTTTCCTAAGGTCTTCGACTTCATTGGGAAGAGTCAGAGGCTCACGTCTCTTGTCGACTTCCTTGACCAGGTGCTTGAGCCAGTCGATCATGATGACGCGGTTCTTGGGCAGCCAGCCGCCGTGGCGGTATGGCACATGAACTACGGGCGCCATGACTGCAGCAGTGCGTGACATGTCTTGCGATGTGAATGTGTTTCGAAATTCAGGCCAACGGGAGCGACCTTTTCCAAAAAATTCTGTTGAGGGAAGATGATTTGGAGCATTTGGCCTGGACGAAAGAGGCTTTTATACACGACATATCCCCCGCTTCAGCCGTCCGGAATAGCCGTGGCCATGATGTTGTAGTCTCTTTCCGCAGTCACGAGACAACACCGGACAAGTTGCTGCAGGTTTGAGGAAGCGTCCATTTCAGCCAGCCACTCACACTGTCACCGACTCACATGCGGCCCAAAGGCTGTTGGTCTTTGTTCGCTCTTTCCGGACACATACATACTGCGGGGTTGCGCATATGCATTACACGGCAAACGAAGAGGACTGTGAGACATGGTTTCTTCACAGACAAGTTTCTGAAAGCCAAAAGTCCCAGAAGGCGTTGCCTACCGACGTTGCGCGGCGATGTTGGTGTGGATGGCTGCCCATGCGTGTTTTGCCGCATCAGGACAGATTCCTCGATGTACTTGAGGACCATGCTTGGTCGTACTCTAAAGAGGCAAGCGAATGCAGTCTTCAACAGGTATCTTGATGCCTACACAAGAGTCTATCTGTGTAGCCGGAGCTGGACTTGTGCCGTGGCCGGGTGCCGGGTGCCGGGTTTGCCGCAAAAATGATCAAACTACAGTGCAACACCAAGTTGCTCCATCGCAAACTATTCATGGTTGGGCATACATTTGTAATCTCTGCATTGCATCCGTGGCTACGTTGTATACGGCCAACAACATTGCATCGCTGTTTGTGAAGCCGCTTTCATACGGGGCAAAGCTGGTGATGAGTGCATCGGGTGGTCTTGAATACGTCGACGCTTAGGCAGCTTCCCTATTCTTCTGGTCGCACAGTTTTCCGTCATGTCTTCCCACCACCGGCAGCATGAGCCCTGGCTGCAGATTCAACGATCAGCTGTGAGGGAGGAGTACCCTTGGTGCACAAGGGACGACGACTTTTATATACTCTTGTCAAGGTGCTGTAGCTTAGCGCATTACTTTCGGCGTGTACAGTTTGATGTGACGTCACATCCTGGCGACCGCATAAGTGACTAGACGTCTTGTATGCGATAGCAACGTCGGAGAGGGAGAAGTCGGAGCCAGCTTCAAGTTCATCCAGAGTGTACTGCGCCACTTGATGCTGGTTTTTCTCATGCTCTCCCACGCTCTGGCGACGGCATGAAAAGGTCTCGACCAGAGTTGCATGTTGGCATTAAAAGGGGTCTATGATCTTCCAGAGGCTTGTTTAAACTTCTGTCCATAAATCTGAACAGTAACCGTGCTAAGCGGTGCTTGACTTTTGCTCGGCGGTGAAAGAAGGATGCATGTATTCTAGCAAAGTTGACGGCATTACCGGACCACTTGATCCTTCAATGTCCAAGAAGCACAGCTGTAGACTATTGCGACTGCTGGAGTGCGTTTTGCTTATACCCTTTCTTATACCCTTTCCGTGTTTGCCCGGTGACGTGCCAAAGGTCACCAGCTGAGCAGGGTCAGTGCCCTTCTGATAGGCTGCTCGGCTTGATAATACGGATATATTTTCTTGACAAGGCATGCGTGAGGATGTTATTTGTCGTCGTGTTGCGAGTAGTTGGAGAGCTTGTCCAAGGTGTTGACGCCGCGTTAGTTGTTCACCGGGAAAGACGCCGCGAGGCTACGCCATTCAGTGCCACCTTTATCCGTTGATAGAGCACTTGAGATTAAAAGAATAATTGCTACTGTCGGTGTTGATTAAGAGAAAATAGAGGAAATATTCTAGAGGCTCGTCATTAATAATAACTATGGCAGCTAGAAAACTCTATGCACAGAGGCCAAATCTGGCTCAGACTGCGAGTAGCCCCTGGGCAGCAACTGATTTCTCCCCATGGAATTCGGGGGATGTATCCGTCGGCGGATTGTGGGAAGAAGACATCGGTGAAAAGAAAAAGGCAGGTCCGTGTCGGCGCGGGCAGCCCATTCGTTGATTCAATGTTGGTGCCAGTCAAGTCAACACATGCCCGGAATAAGGCCAAGCGCTTCAAGCCGCGGTGCCCTTGGGGAGAGTGACGACGGGTTCTGGTCCGTCTTCCTGCACCTTGTCAAACCAGATGCATTTCAGATCCTCGTCAATCGCAATGCCCAGCTGAATGGGAACATTGTCCTCAAACCTGAACTCGGCACTCATTGGCTGGCTCGGACCTTGCGACACTTCCCTGTAAAGAGCGATGTATTTCTTCTGCTCGCATACGTGCTGGAAGGTAAGTGTAAAGACATAAGATCGATCCGAGCAGTCAATAAATAGCCGGTCGTCCCTGATCTGCATCATGAGGGATCCCCAGCCCGGATTCCGGTATTCGCCCGTATAAGTGTCCAGGGGCACGCTCTGGGGCTCTGGTTCTTTTATACCAGGGCAACGCTTCTGACGCTCCTCCTCGATTACCTTTTCCTCGCTGCCCATCTTTTTCTCCGGGATCGATTCGTGCACCACACCGTCCCAGTCGACTCTTTGGTCCTGGGCCACGCCCAAAAGTTCGTCGACGAATTCCTGCATCAGGATCTCGGCGACGAAACACGCATGGTCCGAGTTGCCAAAGATGGCGCCTCCGAATTTCAGTTCCGGCACGAAGAAATGGCTCGTTGAGGAGCCGGATATGCATCCGTCGTGAACGAAAATCATGTGGCCTCGGTAGTGGTGCACCTCCCAGCCTGTCGCGTACAGCGGCGGCGAGGAGAACGGTTTCGGGGCGTCGTCCGGGCTGATGATGATTCGCGGCTTCACGATCCCCCGGTAAACGGCTTCTGTGAACGGGCCCTCCTTGTTCATCATTGCCTTGACGTATTTGATGTAGTCGTTGACCGAGGACACGACGGAGCCGGCGCCCTGTGCCTCGGGGGAATCGGGGGTCATGAAGGTCAAGTACTTGCCGGCCGTCTCGTCCCACCAGTGTCCGGGGGAAATACGGTCTCCGAGTCCCTTGGCCCGCGCGCGTCCCGGCTGCAGGTTGCTCGAGGTCATGCCGAGTGGTTGGAAGAAGCGCTCTTCGAGAAAGTCGGCGAAGCTGAGACCTGTTTTCTTCTCCACCAGGTACGTGGCGACGGTGTACATGATGTTGCAGTAGATGAATTTGGAGCGGACTGGGGCTGCGGGTGCCAGGTTCCTGAGATTTCGCGTGAGGGACTGCGCGGTATCTGGGTTGTTGGACCTGACGCCCATATATGAATTGTCATGGCTGCCATGAGGAATTAGCCACAGATCATGGATTGGCGAAAGGGGGAAGGAAAGGTGTCCTCACGCTGCCATTCCGCTCCGGTGACTGAGGATGTCTTCGACGGTAACGTCCTCGTAGCCTTGGCCAGGCATGACAAACTCGCCGAGCAATAGTTCGGCCATTTCGGCCCCATATTCGATGTCGGGATGCTTGTCGTCATGGACGAGCAGGGCAACGGAAGCAGCAGTGAGAGACTTGGAAGCGGAAGCAATGTCGAGAAGAGTATCGGTGGTCATTGGCTCTGGGGGTTCGAATGAGGCCATCCCGAAGGCCTTGGAGGCCATGGTACCATTGTGGGTAATGGCAATAGCAAGGCCAGGGACATGGTATTTCTTCATCAGGTCCTCTACGTGTGAGGAGAAGTTGTCAGAGCTGAACAACTCCATCATGTAGTTGACGAGTTGCGATATTCCGTTGCGTTGAAGCGATATAACAGTTGAGGAATGTACAGCGACAGTAAGTTGCCGCCAGGAATGATTTTTGATGCCGGGCCACAGAGTTGAATGGGGGAAATTGACGGGTATGTATCTTGGCACTATGATTAGATGTGGTTCGTGCATTCAGAGCTCTTTCCAATTATGCAGTGGGAGACAAACAGTATTTACGCAGACCAGGTACTTGGCCATCGCGCTACGAAAAAAAATATACTACAGCATATTAGTGTATACTTCTCGACGGGCAGATATATTCTGTCACAGACGGTGCACTGTCGTCGTGGAGGTGAGTAAGGCGCGATTCTAAATCGGGCAATGTGCTGTTGGCTTGTTGTCGAATCAACGATTCGGCGATGCAGTGGCAGCCCACAAATGAAGCGTTAAAATGGGTCGTTCCAACTCGGGGTGACTCACAATCTCTTCAGTGCTTCCTCACAAGTTGTGGTACTCGGCATTGCTGCTGCCTTGGAGGGGTCAACGGTTTGACAGCCGGCAGTCGAATTCCAAAAGTGAAAGGACTTGGCTGTCACTCAATGTTTGTACAGCTTTGAGGTAGCTCACCAAACATTATTGATATCATCTTTCCACTACTACAATCTGGGCGCTAGTGTTTTCTTATTCATCTCGGCAGCTATGCGTACATATGCCATTTGCCTGATTTGATGAATAACCTGTGTTTGATTGGCCAGGGCTCAGCGGCCCCTACTGGTACATATGTAGGTCAACTGGTCTCAGTGCTGGTTAGGTCTGGTTTCACCCTCTGCTGAGTCCTGACACTCCTAAGGGCACTGATCAGCGTGACGGCTTGCCAGCCCTTAACCAACAAGCTAGCCGTCTAAATATTACACAAAATTTATTCAGCCTGTGCATTGGCCTTAAGGTCTGGTCACGCTGTCAGCTGCCAGCCGCCGGCCAGCCGTCATCTGCTTAGTTGGCATCTGCTCACATCTCTATATATTGCTCCTAGGGCCCTTTGTTTTTTTTTCCCACAAAAAGTCCAAACAAGAAAACTTTTACACCCTCGCTTTCACACCCTTACACATCGTTCTCGAAAGCACGTTTGATACCCCCAATTTCACACCTTTACACCTCTTTCTCGCAAGCTGTATTGCCTAAGACCATTACACAAGAGACCTCAGACCACCAGTCGCGACTGTAGTGGATTCCATCACACGTAACCAGGCAACCGCAGCCCAAGTCCAGCGTCTGGACTCTGGAAGACGCAACTCGGAACCCACTCACCGGACAATTCTGGGCCTCTGGTCACGATGAAATTCTTTCAAGCCGTCGTCGTCTGCCAGTCTACAGACGATATCAAGAGATTCTCGACAATTACCACCAGTCTCGGGTAAAAGTTGTTCTGAGCGAGACCGGCACGGGCAAGTCAACCCAGGTCCCCCAGCTGCTCGTCTATGATGAGTATTCAAGTGGCAGTCTCCAGATTGCAAGTACCCAGCCGCGCCGACTAGCCGCCGCCGAACTCGCTGGTCGCGTTGGCCAAGCGTTCCATCGACGATGCGAAGGCCAGAAATCGAACTACCCAAGGGCAGCTAGCACCATAGCTTCCAGGCCGATCATCATTTCTCTCCCTACGAATCGACAAGTATCTGAGATGGATCAACGGGCGAAAGTCCAATACATTGAAGGGCGAAAGTCCACTTAAACATTAACTGGCGAAAGCCCACTTCAACATTAACGGGCGAAAGTCCAATAGAATAAAGGCGAAAGCCCAATTTTCTACATTCCTTTATAGGTGCAAACCCGATTCCTTCATGGTTGTAAAACCTTGGGCACCCGCCCTAAAGGTCGTTCTGGCAGCCCTGTTGGGGAGTGGGTTCGATTCCCACGACGATCCTTTGACTTTTGGCTCGGGGGATGACGTCGAATCGACTATGGGAGCGACCAGTTCTTCACTCGCTTTGTTGTTTTTATATCACCTCTTTTATCAAATTTAGGTCCTTTTGATGTTGGACGTTTCCATTGTCGCATATAGATGTATATTTACATACATGTGTCGCTGAAATGGTAGGTGTTGACCATCAGAGAGGACGCCATCCTTGCATGTTGAGAAAGGAAATGGATTCCCCTCCACAACTTCGACCGAATATGTTCTGGTATTTGATACACATATGGTACTTTATATCTTTTTTTTTTCTTTCTTGGCAACTTCTTCATCTTTCACAAGCATTGACCACAGGACTCTGGAAGCATCTAGACCCTTTACACTGATATAAGACCCAGTCTATTCGTGCGTAGGGCCTGGGAGAATAAGTATTTTCCGACACAATCGACCACTCAGAGGTGAAAGCACTGGCTTCTCCCACTGCCGCATGTTCGATGTTTCTCCCGGCAATAGAACGCCCATGTGGCCTCTCTCGGCCACCTCCTATGACGCAACGGCAGGCGTCCTCAGTCAACATTGCACATGTGGTCTTTTGACACGTTCCTAGCGCTATTTCTCGGGCCATTTATGTCTACGCTCTCATCCGTCGGCATCCAAGAGCCCTCGGCGCTTGCCTAGACTCTGGAGAAGCTTAATGTGTTTAGAGATCTTGTCATGGTTTAACCGCACCAAGCAAAAGGCAATTCCACTACTGCCTGTTAGAGTTGAACCTTATGTACTTCTTGGTTATCGATGCTCTGTATTCCACCCGTTGACATTTCTGTCACTGGATTCTGCATAACGTATCAAAGCCTTGGTGGACATGCTGCAGAATAGCTGATGCAATATCGCACATGGAGCATTTGTAGGGTTCATGCGAGGTGCATCCTGATCATTGAAGAAACAGTACAGATACTTAAAGGCGAATCTCGGTATTTTATTGTTGAGTCAAAATTGAGGGTTATCGTCAGGGGTCCCAAGGGGCTTGTAGGGGGCCCCGACCGGGTATAAAGGGGTCAAATTTGCAGGATTTTTCATCATTCAACTGAATCCTATTATCATCATTAATGAAGCTATTGATTGAACCCTGAAAAGTCTCTTAAAACATCAACGTTTTCTACTACGAAAATTGCTGTTGTCAACTCAACATTTATATTCCACTTCGTGATTTCTACCACACTACGGGCATGTAAGTGACCTTCGTCAATTAGAGCGCATCCGGGACACGCAGAAATCCAAATGAGACTCATTGACTGTACGAGGCACGGTGTAGTGAAGGTAATTTCTCTAAGAAAGTGGCAAAAACATATTGTTGCTTTCATTGATCGAGTTGACCGCCTCAAGTCACGGTGATTTTTCTAACCCATGACAAATCTTTGCAATTCATTTTTGCAATTCATTGAAGCGAATCTTGAGCAAGGCTCGGTGTCGGCGCAAACGAAAACGGCTAAAGGTGCCACAAGCTATACTCACGCGTCACAAGAGCTTTGAGCCAGACAATCTTCAACTTGCACAGAAATCACCAAACTCGGAAGATAAAGCACCAGACTTGATAAGACGACTTGACACATCTCCTGTCCCCGGTTTTCCAAACTCCTCTCCTTCCCTGCCCGACGCCGTAAAGGCAAAGGTATCTGGCAGGAGCGACTTTGAGTGGGGAGTGCCATGGCATCGAGCATGAAATAGTCGACCAGCGGCAGCTAGATTTTATTGTGGACTTTAAAAAACGCCTGGCAGCATCGACGAGGGTTGCAATACCATCGGCCGGGAAAGACTTGCTGTCGAGCCCTGAGTCTGCCCAGAAGCTCGTGGACCAGCTACACACCGACAGACCGAGCTGAGAAGCAGCGGCGGGTTAAGAGAGAACAAGTCGAAAAGCTAGGACGATTTCTTATATGGTTTGACATGCAGAATGTTGGGTTGCACACGGCGATCGACCCGCTGTCAGCCTCCAGATATCCCTCTCCCCCCGCGCATGAAGATCACGATATGGTACTGAAATACGCCAGGCCATGCTAGCTGCAAGTGAATTTGGGTTCTAGATTGTGGATTGACCAGGGATCTTGGACAGCCTTCTTCCCGAACGTTACGTTCAGGAATTAAGGTGATATTATGTGCTCATGCGTCTCTGCCTGGTGCAGCCCTCCATGTCAACAAGTATCCTTTGCACAGTTATACAAAGAGGTTATATCGACGTTATGGCCAGCAACTTTGTTTGGTCTTTCGTGGCACCATATTGGCAGCGCATGGCTTAGCGGTTCCAAACGACCTGGTGAATAACACCGCAGAAACTTTCCCGAGCCCTGGCGACAAGCCACTACGAGAAGCCAGCAAACCCGTCAAGCATCAGACATGAGTGAGAAGAAAGGTCCAGACAGGGACGACTTCACAATTGGTGGGATATGTGCGATTGTCCCGGAATACGTCGCTTCTATAGCCGTTCTTGACGAAGAACATGCTCAGGTAGAGTGGCGAACGGGAAAAAACATGCTATGCTTTGAAATGGAAGCAGCCGGGTCAATGAACCGCTTCCCTTGCCTCATCATTCACGGTATTTGCAACTACTCTGATTCTCATAAAAATAAGCTCCTGGTCGAATCCCTCCTCTATAAGTCTGCAAACCATGGCCATGGACGACAGCCGTACAGCTGCTGATTGACAACGGTGTTGACCTCGAATCCAGGGATAGAGATGACATGGATTGAACACCCTTGCTTCAGGCAGTGGCGCGCGGTCTTGTCTCCGTCGTCATCCTGCTATTACGGAACAAGACCAATGTTGCCGTGGCTGACGCCTTTGTTCTGGTCCATTTGCCGTGTGATAGCAGACAACATTGAAGAGACTTGACGGTAGCGCAACGGATAAACAGTTTGAGAAGGCTCAGAATCATTTCATGACATTGGCTCCCCTATGCAGCCAGGTTTAACTAACTGCAGACCTCTCTTGAGGACCATGACACTCATCTTCCAGTGAACCAAGTCGCCTCTTAGAATCCGTCAATCGACATCAATCATTCTATCAGCCCCCGAGCAGGCGCCAGCCACACGGCCGTGGCGGCTTGAACCGTACC